AAATTTTGCTTGGAACATAGGATGAGAACAAATTTTATGTAGATTTTTTCATAAAGTACAAAATGTACTTGACGTACCCGAGGTATTAAAATTGACATTATTTTCAGTGTTTTTTTAATAAAGGAATGTGTTTTCATTGTGGGCTACATGTACTGAAACTGCTGCTAACTTTTAAAATTGCCATTACTAGTATTTAACAGGTTTCTGAAAACACAAATAAGACAGAAACCTCCATATATCAGAAACTCTTGATGATTTATTGTAGATGGATTTCATAAGAAATATTGTCACTACCAAACATGCTAAAATATGTGGTAAATAGCATAGAATCAATACAGTATCTGATAATTATGGATATATTAATTGATCAAATAAATATTGGATTGAGTCTTCCAGCATAAATTATCCATGATCGGCTACAATTATTGGAAAGGAAGTGGTGGAAAAAGTGGAATACATGTTTATCACACACACTAAGTATTTTTTCCAACCATCCAAGGTTGACAGCAAAACACCATTATACAACTACTTAACAGTAGGTAAAATTACATTTAAAATAAAAACCAGCTAAGTATAGCCTTTTCTCAGTTTACACATATAACACTGAAGAAGAAAAAAAGAGACTACATATATGCAAATTTGGCACACTATTATGCAAATTACTATTCCAAGTGGCAGAGAAGCATGAAATTCAGAAATCAACGGTGCAAAAAGATTACGACTTCTTGATGAAGGTGGGATCTTCAAGAGTACCAATGAAATAGATCTGTACTACCAAGAGATATGAACAGAGGCTGAATCTCACATCAGGTCCCAGTGCTGTGAAGGGAATTAACCACATTGACCAATCGAAAGGATGGATACTTTTAAAGCTGCATATTCCACATAAACAAACAATGTATATTACAAGCATACAGTGTACAGGACCTATTTCAGCCATACTTTCGGCGATACTTTAAAAATGATATTGTACATGTATTATAGTATAACAGATCGAACATATTAGCAGAATATGGGTAAATGCATGCATTTTTAGTTTTGATGCGTGGTTTTTATTCAGATTGAACAGATAGGTGGGGTCTCTGGGGGTTCCTCAACGACAACTTCTTCTGAGTTCAGAGATTCAACGATAGCTTTGGTGGTCTCTGATAGACAGTTCGCATCATAGTAAGATAGCTCATATTGAAGTCTGTCAGTATCACTGTAGTACTAGGGATAATGCTTTTCATGGAGACGAACTAGAGTGAGTCGGTTGATCTTAGATGTCATTCAGCACCACACAAAACCCTACTTTGGTCAACCTTGTTTAATTTTATATTCCCAATAATTTATCTTCAAATTTTCAAACAAAGTCTTATCAAACCTTTGTTAATGATTTTTTAAGCCTTTTCAGAAAACAAATAAACTCACAGTAAAACATACTCAACATCTTCGTTAAATAGACCTATGTGACCTGAAAAAGTCACACAGTCAAAATTAAGCATACCATATTTCCTCTATTAGAAGCGCATCTTCAATAGAAGCGCATGTAAACCAATACTGTAAATCATTTTAATTTTGCAAGACAAATGAGAAAATTGAGAAATTTCTGGCAATAAAAATGTCTCTGGAGTTACATGAAACAGAGTTTGTCAAAGCGAGTGCCATAAAATAATTAAATTGTGGACTCAAAGCATCTCTTGTCAAATCGGCAGGAATCACAAAAATGCTAATACAATCGCAGAATATGTTAATTTTGAATTGATTAAATTTCTGGGTTTTCACGACATTTCCAGGAATTTATCATAGTTGAGGTTTTTTTTAGGCCTTAAAAAAAGTAAAGCTGAGATAAGAAATTCAAGCCTGTGCCCTGAGGATGTAAAATTGACTCAAGTTTCGTCTGTTGAAGAAAACAAGAAAAATGTGCATAATAATTTGGCTGAGAAAGTCTGGTGGTGAAAAGGTTAAAGAATAAACGATACAAGTAAATTAAAGAAAATTCCCCAATTGTGTCTTTTTGATGTCTGGTGTGTTCAGGTTGTACAAATGCACATCCAATCTTCCAATTATCTTCGAAAGTATTGCTAATAGATTTAATGGACATCAAATTAAGCACCTGCTAGCTTATTATGATCATTATGTACCTAATGACATGAAATCATAATAAGCTTTAGTGTGTGGGGTCAAAGGTCAGGGGTCAAATATCTAATGGCAAATAATAATATACGACGAATAAC